ACACACACACACACACACACAACATACTATATATATATGTATACATACACACACACATATATATATATATATATACTACTACTATATATATATATATATATATATATATATATATATATATATATATATATATATATATATATATGTATATATATATATATATATATATATATGCGAATATATAAGAACACTGTTGGAAGGCGTGGTGAGACAAGCGGTCATTCATTGGTAACAACAGGGTGGATTCGGGAAGAGGGGATAACCAATCACGAATAGTTAGACAGCTCACAAAATTTCTGTCGAACTGCCATCCCAATGCTTGTCGTGCTCATGACAGCACTCATGGTCGGCTTTATCAAATGTTACAGTACGACCAGATACGTGGTAAGCATATAATACATCGACCCAAACTCACGCAGAGGTAACTTGTGCATGGCTATGCTTGCCCCATATGCGGTTACATTCCACAGCGGGCCTAAAAAACAGTGAGCATAGGGCTGCCATACGCAAACGGTGCCCCGTCATATCTACTCATATGGTCACACAGAAGTGGGTACAGGGGCACCATAGTTATCACGCAAGCAGTCATACTTACTTGTAGTTTATATATTCGTATGTACTTCTGAGACAAACTCATCATATGTACTAATGTGACAGAAATACTCTGCATACCACACACCCATTATATGTACTATTGAGAAAGAAGTACTCTGCATACCACACACCCATTAAATACACTACTAAGACAGGTACAATGTATACTACACACCCATTATATGTACCATTCAATACTTACCATACATCCGGCAGCTTCTCAGGCCTTCCATTTAAACCTCCGCCGGGCGTTTGCCTCTCCGCAAGCCACCAGCCCAACAAGTCGCTATCAACGTGGTGCAAACTGTGTCGTTGTGAAATGGGGTCAGACGGAAAGCGGGAAAACGGGACACCTATGTGTATACGATTGGTCTGTACGATTGGGTGAGATGGAGACAACAGGAGGGGAAGTGATGGAACTATATGCATGTTGAATGAATGAATAATAAATATGATTAATAAATAGGTGCATGTTAAATATATAGGAGCATGTTAGAGGCATACCGGACCCTTTCATCCATCGCAAGGCAATAGGAATCAATGATACATACATCAATAGAAGTCCATCCTCTCTCTCTATATATATATATATACATATAAGAATATGAATGTATATATAGCTGTATACCATATACAACCATAACTCACACACTAGCAGAACAGCTTGCCTCCAGATGGTATGTCACGTATGTTGCAGTGAATGGTTGAATAACGGCGCTCCAGACGATGGCGAGTTCTGCCAAACGCATACTCCCCAACAATATATAGACCATGTGCACAACAAAAAGTGTACTGACTACTCAGTCAATACGTATAGCTTATATGCATAAGTTCGTATGCTTAGCCCTTTGTGATGGCTAGTGCACCCACATAACAGCATTTTTAGCTAAGAGATAT